TCCATAAGTGTCAAAGGCTTTTATTGACAGTTACATTAAGTTTATGCAAAGAGTCAATATTTGCAGTGTTGACCCTCCTTTTTCAAGACCTCTGCAATCCGCCCTGGCATGCTGTCAATTAACTTCTGGGCCACATCCTGACTGATGGCAGCCCATTCTTGCATAATCAATGCTTGGAGTTTGTCAGAATTCGTGTTCTCAAAGGGATTAAGGTCTGAGGAGTTTCCTGGCCACTTAGTTATCACTTTTGCCTTATGGCAAGGTGCTCCATCATGCTGGAAAAGGCATTGTTCGTCACCAAACTGTTCTTGGATGGTTGGGAGAAGTTGCTCTCGGAGGATGTGTTGGTACCATTCTTTATTCATGGCTGTGTTCTTAGGCCAAATTGTGAGTGAGCCCACTCCCTTGGCTGAGAAGCAACCCCACACATGAATGGTCTCAGGATGCTTTACTGTTGGCATGACACAGGACTGATGGTAGCACTCACCTTGTCTTCTCCGGACAAGGTGTTTTCCGGATGCCCCAAACAATTGGAAAGGGGATTCATCAGAGAAAACGACTTTACCCCAGTCCTCAGCAGTCCAATCCCTGTACCTTTTGCAGAATATCAGTCTGTCCCTGATGTTTTTCCTGGAGAGAAGTGGCTTCCTCGCTGCCCTTCTTGACACCAGGCCATCCTCCTTAAGTCTTCGCCTCACTGTGCGTGCAGATGCACTCGCACCTGCCTGCTGCCATTCCTGAGCAAGTTCTGCACTGGTGGTGCCCCGATCCCACAGCTGAATCAACATTAGGAGACAGTCCTGGCGCTTGCTGGACTTTCTTGGGCGCCCTGACGCCTTCTTCACAACAATTGAACCTCTCTCCTTGAAGTTCTTGATGATCCGATAAATGGTTGATTTAGGTGCAATCTTACTAGCAGCAATATCCTTGCCTGTGAAGCCCTTTTTGTGCAAAGCAATGATGATGGCACGTGTTTCCTTGCAGGTAACCATGGTTAACTGAGGAAGAACAATGATTTCAAGCACCACCCTCCTTTTTAAAGCTTCCGGTCTGTTATTCTAACTCAATCAGCATGACAGAGTGATCTCCAGCCTTGTCCTCGTCAACACTCTCACCTGTGTTAACGAGAGAATCACTGACATGATAGCATCTGGTCCTTTTGTGGCAGGGCTGAAATGCAGTGGAAATGTTTTTTGGGGGGATTAAGTTCATTTTCATGGCAAAGAGGGACTTTGAAATTAATTGCAATTCATCTGATCACTCTTCATGACATTCTGGAGTATATGCAAATTGCCATCATCAAAACTGAGGCAGCAGACTTTGTGAAAATTATTATTTGTGTCATTCTCAAAAATATATATACAGTGGGGAGAACAAGTATTTGATACACTGCCGATTTTTGCAGGTTTTCCTACTTACAAAGCATGTAGAGGTCTGTAATTTTTATCATAGGTAGTACACTTCAACTGTGAGAGATGGAATCTAAAACAAAAATCCAGAATCACATTGTATGATTTTTAAGTAATAATTTGCATTTTATTGCATGACATAAGTATTTGATACATCAGAAAAGCAGAACTTAATATTTGGTACAGAAACCTTTGTTTGCAATTACAGAGATCCTACGTTTCCTGTAGGTCTTGACCAGGTTTGCACACACTGCAGCAGGGATTTTGGCCCACTCCTCCATACAGACCTTCTCCAGATCCTTCAGGTTTCGGGGCTGTCGCTGGGCAATACGGACTTTCAGCTCCATCCAAAGATTTTCTATTGGGTTCAGGTCTGGAGACTGGCTAGGCCACTCCAGGACCTTGAGATGCTTCTTACGGAGCCACTCCTTAGTTGCCCTGGCTGTGTGTTTCGGGTCGTTGTCATGCTGGAAGACCCAGCCACGACCCATCTTCAATGCTCTTACTGAGGGAAGGAGGTTTTTGGCCAAGATCTCGCGATACATGGCCCCATCCATCCTCCCCTCAATACGGTGCAGTCGTCCTGTCCCCTTTGCAGAAAAGCATAACTAAAGAATGATGTTTCCACCTCCATGCTTCACGGTTGGGATGGTGTTCTTGGGGTTGTACTCATCCTTCTTCCTCCAAACACGGCGAGTGGAGTTTAGACCAAAAAGCTCTATTTTTGTCTCATCAGACCACATGACCTTCTCCCATTCCTCCTCTGGATCATCCAGATGGTCATTGGCAAACTTCAGACGGGCCTGGACATGCGCTGGCTTGAGCAGGGGGACCTTGCATGCGCTGCAGGATTTTAATCCATGACGGCATAGTGTGTTACTAATGGTTTTCTTTGAGACTGTGGTCCCAGCTCTCTTCAGGTCATTGACCAGGTCCTGCCGTGTAGTTCTGGGCTGATCCCTCACCTTTCTCATGATCATTGATGCCCCACGAGCCCCACGAGGTGAGATCTTGCATGGAGCCCCAGACCGAGGGTGATTGACCGTCATCTTGAACTTCTTCCATTTTCTAATAATTGTGCCAACAGTTGTTGCCTTCTCACCAAGCTGCTTGCCTATTGTCCTGTAGCCCATCCCAGCCTCGTGCAGGTCTACAATTTTATCCCTGATGTCCTTACACAGCTCTCTGGTCTTGTCCATTGTGGAGAGGTTGGAGTCTGTTTGATTGAGTGTGTAGACAGGTCTTTTTATACAGGTAACGAGTTCAAACAGGTGCAGTTAATACAGGAAATAAGTGGAGAACAGGAGGGCTTCTTAAAGAAAAACTAACAGGTCTGTGAGAGCCGGAATTCTTACTGGTTGGTAGGTGATCAAATACTTATGTCATGCAATAAAATGCAAATTAATTACTTAAAATCATAATGTGATTTTCTGGATTTTTGTTTTAGATTCCGTCTCTCATGGTTAAAGTGTACCTATGATAAAAATTACAGAGGACCTCTACATGTTTGTAAAGTAGACAACCTGCAAGAATTGGCAGTGGTATCAAATACTTGTTCTCCCCTCCCCCACTGTGTTGTGTGTGTTTGTGTGTGTGTGTGTATATAATATATATATATTATTATATATATTATATATATATATTTTTGTAACGACCCGGTATTGTGTTCGTGGGTGCTAGCAGGGGTTTAATATGCCAGGACAGACGGAAAGGTTGGTGGGGGGGTATGATGGGTAATCCCGCAGGGTTGTGAAATTCATAAATAGGGGTTACTTGTCGTTTCAATCGGGATCGGATCTGCTCCTGTGGTGCCACTTGACATTGTGTATTTGGTGTAGTGTCGGAATTTATATCGGCGTGGGCTGTGGGCCCTGACAATGGCACAGTTTTAGGAATAAACCTGTGTTCTGCCCTGCACACCTGGTGTCAGTTTTTTTCTTTTCTTTAATATATATATTAGTACTAGTCAAAAGTTTGGACACTTACTCATTCAAGGGTTTTTCTTAGTTTTTACTATTTTTTACATTGTAGAATAATAGTGAAGACATCTAAACTATGAAATAACACCTATGGAATCATGTGGTAATCAAAAAAAGTGTTAAACAAATATATTTGAGATTCTTCAAATAGCCACCCTTTGCCTTGATAACAGCTTTGCATACTCTTGGCATTCTCTCAACCAGCTTCACCTGGAACACCTTGTCCACTTTTCCAAGTCTTGAAGGAGTTCCCACATATGCTGAGCACTTGTTAGCTGCTTTTCCTTCACTCTGTTGTCCCACTCATCCCAAACCATCTCAATTTGGTTGGGGGATTGTGGAGGCCAGGTCATCTGATGCAGCACTCTATCAGTCTCCTTCTTTGTAAAATTAGCCCTTACACAGCCTGGAGGTGTGTTGGGTCATTGTCCTGTTGAAAAACAAATGATAGTCCTACTAAGCCCAAACCAGATGGGATGGCGTATCGCTGCAGAATGCTGTGGGAGCCATGCTGGTTAAGTGTGCCTTGAATTATAAATAAATCACAGACAGTGTCACCAGCAAATCACCCCCACACCATAACACCTCCTCCTCCATGCTTTACGGTGGGAACTACACATGCGGAGATCATCCGTTCACCTACAAAGCATTGCACAAAGACACAGCGGTTTAACCAAAAATCTCATTTGGACTCATCATACCAAAGGACAAATTTCCGCTGGTCTAATGTCCATTGCTTGTGTTTCTTGGCCCAAGCAGGTCTCTTCTTCTTATTGGTGTCCTTTAGTAGTGGTTTCTTTGCAGCTATTTGACCATGAAGGCCTGATTCACACAGTCCCCTCTAAACAGTTTATGTTGATGTCTGTTACTTGAACTCTGTGATGCATTTATTTGGGCTGCAATTTCTGAGGCTGGTAACTCTAATGAACTTATCCTCTGCAGCAGAGGTGCGACTCTGGGTCTTCCAGTCCTGTGGCTGTCCTCATGAGAGCTAGTTTCATCATAGCGCTTGATGGTTTTTGCGACTGCACTTGAAGAAACGTTCAAAGTTCTTGACATTTTCCGGATTGACTGACCTTCATGTCTTAAAGTAATGATGGACTGTCGTTTCTCTTTGCTTATTTGAGCTGTTCTTGACATAATATGGATTTGGTCTTTTGCCAAATGGGGCTATCTTCTGTACCCCCCCCCATCCCCCCAACCTTGTCACAACGGATTGGCTCAAACGCATTAAGAAGGAAAGAAATTCCATAAATTAACTTTTTAAGAAGGCACATCTGTTAATTGAAATGCATTCTAGGTGACTACCTCATGAAGCTGGATGAGAGAATGCCAACAGTGTGCAAAGCTGTCATCAAGGCAAATGGTGGCTATTTTGAAGAATCTCAAATAAATGTAGTGTGCAACATTTTTAATTTTCTAGCCTGCAGTTTACGCTCCGTTAATCAGCACCTCAACTAACTGTTTTGGGTGTGTGCCAACTCCATGCGTTTCACTAGAATATTTTTTTATAATAACATGGATGGTAGCATGCTGCAATGGATATTCTCCTTGTACCTAATCTCCAATTTAAAAACGATTTTAGTTTCTTAATGACAAGTCTGACCAGAATATGCTCAGGGTTAATATTAGGTCTGTGTTTCTGGGCTATTTCAGCACCGAGGCAGAGGGGCCAGTGGAGGAGGATGCTGTAACCCCAGAGCCTGAGGCTGAACCGGAGCCGGAGCCGGAGCCAGACGTGGTGGATGGAAAACAGGACCTGGAGCCAGAGACCCAGCAGCAACAAGACACCACAGAGGAGCAGGGAGAGAAGTGCCCGGTCACCTCACCCCTGCCCTCTGCCACTGCTGACCCTGCTCCTGCGCCCGCCGCTGAAGATAACCGGGTAGGGCTCAACCCTCATTTTGGCAACGCTATGGTCATGTCAACATGGTGGACGTGATTCCATGCGTGTCCTGGATGCTGTGTTTTTAGCTGGTTATCCACTGTCAACACTGATGTCACTACTCAAAACCAAATGTGACCTGTCTACACCTAATTCCATTTTGGTTTAAGAACCATTTTGGTTGCATTATAATCAGCTTTGATAGCTACTTTTGTAGATAAACAACTACTATTGCTGAGAAATTCCTTTTTTCCTTTACCTCTTGATTATTCATTAATTTTACCTAGCTTCTAGAGGTCTCCTTGTACAGCTGCTGACGTCATTCAGCTTGATTTATTGTTTGTTTCGTCTCTCCTCCAGCCGTTCTCCTGGGCGTCTGTCACCAGTAAGAACCTTCCCCCTAGTGGACCTGTCCCTGTCTCGGGCGTCCCCCCTCACGTAGTCAAAGTCCCGTCGGCACCGGTACGTTAACTTACAATGTTACTTTTCTCTATATAAAAACACTCCTCCTGTAGCCAACATTATGTATTAAATACCAGTAGAAGAAACAACCACACATACTATATTGATTACTAAGGGGGATAAAATCACCTATTATCGTGTGACGTCCATGCATTTGACATATTAAGCATGTATCATACCAGTTAAACCACACAGTATTATTAGGTATAAGAAACACATTTTGGTGACCTTTTTAATCAACATTCCTCTTAAAGGGCAATGAACACATTCAATCAACTGGTTATGTAGCTTGGAGTCCGTCTCATCCTGGTCTACTAGCCTGGTTTCTGAGTGTCCCTTGTCTTGGTCTTCTAGCCTGGTTTCTGAGTGTCCCTTGTCTTGGTCTACTAGCCTGGTTTCTGAGTGTCCCTTGTCTTGTCTTGGTCTACTAGCCTGGTTTCTGAGTGTCCCTTGTCTTGTCTTGGTCTACTAGCCTGGTTTCTGAGTGTCCCTTGTCTTGTCTTGGTCTACTAGCCTGGTTTCTGAGTGTGTCTTGTCTTGGTCTACTAGCCTGGTTTCTGAGTGTCCCTTGTCTTGTCTTGGTCTACTAGCCTGGTTTCTGAGTGTCCCTTGTCTTGTCTTGGTCTACTAGACTGGTTTCTGAGTGTCCCTTGTCTTGGTGCTTTAGCCCAGGGTGGAGGTGAAAACAGAAGCTGCAGCACAGAGATCACAACCGAGAGACCAGAGACCACGGGAAGCAAGGCCAGGCCCACCACCAGTTAACAGAGGACCCCGACCAGGAGGTATGATCCACCAGACAGCATCTCACCCAACACGCAGTACCATCCACCAGACAGCATCTAATAGAATAATAATGTCCCAACACACAGCTGGGTCATGTTCAGGAGGTAGAAAACGTCTTGAAATGAAGTGAAACTGGGAGGTACTACCTGACCTCGTCCAATAAGAACACAGATTTGTTTTCATTGTAAAAATGGTTTGCTACAATGTGCCGCCTACGTTGAATGTAAACCTGTCTGTGTTAGTCTGAACTCTGAATGCCCTCTTTTAGTCTACAATGTTGTTTTGTCTTTGAGGAAACATGAAAGACGTGCATGTCTGTTGACTAAAGTGATCTCTCATGCCTCTCGTCTGCTCTTGGTTCGCAGTGCGGGAAGGAGAGCAGGGAGAGACGTCGGAGGTTCGCCGTGTTGTGCGGTATCCAGACGCTCACCAGCTCTTTGTAGGAAACGTCCCCCATGATGTGGACAAGGCAGAGCTCAAGGAGTTTTTCCAACGTATGTCACGTTTTTATTTCAAAATGGTCTGCAAAAAAGCATTTTAATTAATTTGTATGGCTTCAACTGACAGTACTGGGATGTAGCAGTGCCAGATGCAGCTAGTCTTAATTAATCATAGTCCCCCAATGACCTGTAAAAAGGTATGAAATAATTTGATTTGAATCATTGTTCTATGATGTTAAATGATCTGCGTCCCTGTAACAGAATATGGTACATGCTTTGCAGCAACTGATTTAAGTAATTGATTGAAATAGTTGATTTTGTAATTTTTATACGATCTGGTTCCTTCTACAGAGTATGGTACTGTGCTTGAGCTACGGATCAACAGCGGCGGAAAGCTTCCCAACTTTGGATTCGTGGTGTTTGACGATTCGGAACCTGTACAGAAAATCCTAAGCAACCGGGTAAGAATTATTTTCAACATATATGTTTCCGTTACAAAGTTCACAACAGTCACATGCTGATTTGATTAACTGGACTCAATTTTGTAAAGCCTTGGACTCCATTTCAATGATGGTAGAAGGGTGCTTCACATCATTCCCATAAATGTCTATTTGGGAGCCGTAAAAGTTATTCAAAAATTATCTTAATGCTTGTACAGACACAATCCTCTTAAAAGCCCACTCTGATCTTTACAGCTGTTTGTGATCATTTAAATGAATGAATGTACTAACAGTCCTCTTTCATCTTTAGCCCATTAAGTTCAGAGGAGACGTCCGACTGAACGTGGAGGAAAAGAAGACTCGCTCCGCCCGGGAAGGGGACCGGCGAGACATCCGCCCCAGGGGTCAAGGTGGCCCTGGAGGGCCCCGAGAGAGGATAGGAGGGCCCAGAGGCCCCCCCACCAGGGGTGGCATGGCACAGAAACCCAGCTTTGGCTCTGGACGAGGCACTGGACCCAGCGAGGGAGGTCGCTACATGGGACCTCGTCAGTGAATGTCATTCTGAAGTTGGTCTAATGTATCATGCCAGCTACAACTTCTGATGTCAGTCGCCCCGACTCTTTGAGTATTGTACAAAGATGGCTTCTCCATCCATCCATCCATCCCTCCTCCCTTCGCTTTTAGTTTTCTACCCTGGGATTTTGGAATGCGATCCATCTCTGCCGACGTTGACGTGATCTGAACTTCTCTCCTCATCTTTTACATCCTGAACTTGAATTTGTTTTAAAGAAAGTAAAAAGGGTCTAATCTAACTACTTGAATTGGAACAACCCAGTTTGGTTTTGGCGTTCTCTCCCTGTTTCTTAAAGGAACGTGTATGTACTGCTTGGGCAGTCCTGTGTATTGCCACCACTGTCTTTTCAGGTCAAATGCAAGTATGGTTTTATTTTAAATTGCGAAGTTGAATCATGATTGTGAATGGTTATTATCGAGCATGTAAGAAATCCTGTCTGCCTTTTCACTGATGCACTTCATCATGACCAATCAGCTGATGAGAGAACTAAATAAACATCATTTACTGTTTTAAACCTGACTTCTGTATTCTATACATTGAGTTGATCTTTATGGGCTGGTTTCCTGGACACAGATTAAGCCTACACCTGGAGATTTTTGGTGGAGATTGTCCATTGAGCTTGCTTTTAAGTGCAGGTCTATGCTCAATCTGTGTCCTGGGAAACCGCCCCTATATACACTGAACAAAAACATAAAACGCAACAATTTAAAAGATTGTACTGAGTAAATTGAAATAAATTCATTAGGCCCTAATCTATGGATTTGAAATGACTGGGAATACAGATATGCATCCGTTGGTCACAGATAAGGTTTATTTTTTTATGTAGGCGTGAATAAAAAAAAAAAAGTGATGTGACCACAATTTGCCTCATGCAGCGCGACATCTCATTTTGCATAGTTGATCAGGCTGTTGATTGTGGCCTGTGGAATGTTTTTCCACTCTTCTTCAACGGCTGTGCGAAGTTGCTGGATAATGTCAGGAACTGGAAGACGCTGTCGTACACACGTCAATCCAGAGCATCCCAAATATGCTCAATGGGTGACATGTCTGGTGAGTATGCAGTCCATGGAGGGAACTGGAACATTTTCAGCTTCCTGGAATTGTGTACAGGTCCTTGCGACATGGGGCTGTGCATTATCATGCTGAAACATGAGGTGATGGAGGCGGATGAATGGCACGACAATGGGCCTCAGGATCTCATCACGGTATCTCTGCATTTAAAATGAAATTGTGTTTGTATGTATTTTACGCCCGTACCATAACCCCAGCGCCACTATTGGGTACTCTGTTCACAATGTTGACATCAGCAAACCGCTCGCCCACACACTGTACTGCCATCTGCCCGGTACAGTTGAAACCGTGATTCGTCCGTGAAGAGCACACTTCTCCAGCGTGCCAGTGGCCATCAAAGGTAAGCATTTGCCAACTGAAGTCTGTTATGACGCCGAACAGCAGTCAGGTCAAGACCTTGGTGAGGACGACGAGCACGCAGATGAGCTTCCCTGAGACCGTTTCTGACAGTTTGTGCAGAAATTCTTAGGTTGTACAAACCCACAGTTTCATCAGCTGTCCGGGTGGCTTATCTCAAACAATCCTGCAGGTGAAGAAGCCAGATGTGGAGGTCCTGGGCTGGTGTGGTTACATGTAGTCTGCTGTTGTGAGGCCGGTTGGATGTATTGCCAAATTCTCTAAAACAACGGAGGAGGCTTATGGTAGAGAAATTAACATTAAATTCTCTGGCAACAGCTCTGGTGGACATTCCTGCAGTCAGCATGCCAATTGCATGCTCCCTCGAAACTTCAGACATCTGTGGCATTGTGTTGTGACAAGTGCACATTTTAGAGTGGCCTTTTATTGTACCCAGCACAAGGTGCACCTGTGTAATGATCATGCTGTTTAATCAGCTTCTTGATATGCCACACCTGTCAGGTGGATGGGATTATCTTGGCAAAGAAGAAATGCTCACTAACAGGCATGTAAACACATTTTGCAAAAAAATTTTTAAGAAAAAAGCTTTGCGTATGGAACATTTCTGGGATCTATTATTTCAGCTCATGTTTCATGAGCTGAAATGGGACCAACACTTTACATGTTGCGTTTATATTTTTGTTCAGTATATTTCATAATTTGGGAAAATGATTGGAAAAGGATGTGTGGCCACCCAAAGGAGACCTGGCAAAGAGCCGTGGAAAAGGAGATACCATCCCCAAAAGGCAGAAGATCAGAAGCAGTGGCACTCCTCTAGTCGAAGCCTTAGTGCATTCGGAAAGTATTCAGACCCCTTCCCTTTTTCCACATTTTATTACGTTACAGCTTTATTCTTAAATTGATTGAACCACCAAGACTCTTTCTAGAGCTGGCCACCCGGCCAAACTGCGCAATCGGGGGAGAAGGGCATTGGTCAGGGAGGTGACCAAGAACTCGATGGTCACTCTGACAGAGCTCCAGGGTTCCTCTGTCGGGATGGGAGAACCTTCCAGAAGGACAGCCATCTCTGCAGCACTCCTCCAATCAGGCCTTTATGGTAGAGTGGCCAGACAGAAGCCACTCCTCAGTAAAAGGCACATGACAGCCCGCTTAGAGTTTGCCAAAAGGCACCTAAAGGACTCTGACCATGAGAAACAAGATTCTCTGGTCTGATGAAATCAAGATTTAACTTTTTGGCCTGAATGCCAAGTGTCACATCTGGAGGAAACCTGGCACCATCCCTACAGTGAAGCATGGTGGTGGCAGCATCATGCTGTGGGGATGTTTTTCAGCGGCAGTGACTGGGAGACTAGTCAGGATCGAGGGAAAGATGAACGTAGCAAAGTACAGAGAGATTCTTGAATTACTGATATGTATATACATTTTAGTCATTTAGCAGACGCTCTTATCCAGAGCAACTTAGTTAGTGAGTGCATACATTTTCATACTGGCCCCCGGTGGGAATCGAACCCACAACCCTGGCGTTGCAAGCACCATGCTCTATCAACTGAGCTACACGGGACTACGTGAATCAAAACCTCAAAGACTTATCCACAATGTCAACGTGAGTGTCTTGCAAAACTGATATCAAGGGTCTTCATTAGGGCACACAATGCAAACCAGTTTCCAATACTACCTGGAGTTAGGGTTGAAACGGGGTGGTACTACCTGGAGTCAGGGTTGAAACGGGGTGGTACTACCTGGAGTTAGGGGTGAAACGGGTGGTTCTACTAAGTTAGGGTTGAATCGGGTGGTACACCTGAAGTTAGGTTGAAACGGGGTGGTACTACCTGGAGTTAGGGTTGAAACGGGGTGGTACTACCTGGAGTTAGGGTTGAAACCGGGTGGTACTACCTGGAGTTAGGGTTGAAACGGGTGGTACTACCTGGAGTTAGGGTTGAAACGGGGTGGTACTACCTGGAGTTAGGGTTGAAACGGGTGGTACTACCTGGAGTTAGGGTTGAAACCGGGTGGTACTACCTGGAGTTAGGGTTGAAACAGGTTGTTATTACTAGGCTGTGGTACTACCTGGAGTTAGGGTTGAAACGGGGGGTATAACCTGGAGTTAGGGTTGAAACGGGGTGGTACTACCTGGACTTAGGGTTGAAACGGGTGGTACTACCTGGAGTTAGGGTTGAAACGGGTGGTACTACCTGGAGTTAGGGTTGAAACGGGGTGGTACTACCTGAAGTTAGGGGGTGAAACAGGTTTGTTATTACTAGGGCTGTGGTACTACCTGGAGTTAGGGTTGAAACGGGGTGGTACTACCTGGAGTTAGGGTTGAAACGGGGTGGTACTACCTGGAGTTAGGGTTGAAACGGGGTGGTACTACCTGGAGTTAGGGTTGAAACAGGTTGTTATTACTAGGGCTGTGGTACTACCTGGAGTTAGGGTTGAAACGGGGTGGTACTACCTGGAGTTAGGGTTGAAACGGGGTGGTACTACCTGGAGTTAGGGTTGAAACGGGTGGTACTACCTGGAGTTAGGGTTGAAACGGGTGGTACTACCTGAAGTTAGGGTTGAAACGGGGTGGTACTACCTGGATTAGGGTTGAAACAGGTTGTTATTACTAGGGCTTGGTGGTACCTACCTGGAGTTAGGGTTGAAACGGGGTGGTACTACCTGGAGTTAGGGTTGAAACGGGGTGGTACTACCTGGAGTTAGGGTTGAAACAGGGCTGTGGTGTTCATGAAATTTTCTCAACATTTATTGTCATGCAAAAGGATGCTGGTCTCACAATAATTTACGTTAATTAACATAAACACGTTTAGCATCTCCAGGCCCCCCAATGCATTCAAGCCGCGTACCATCTGCTGATGCAGAACGCCTTTGGAACATCAAATAGAAATTCACTATAATTGTAGGCTAACTCTGTAAGTGCACAATCAATGAACCAACAGCATCGCCTAGTCCTATAGGTTCTCTCCCAGACTCATGCATAGTAAGTTTGGAGCGTATCATAACGTAATAAAGTCCATCCAGTATGCATAGTAATAAAGTCCACACTCAAAGGCGATTACTAGAATTTGTTTAATTTTGGAGTTTTGGCTAGACCAGGGACGGGCAACCTTGATGGGGGTGGGGGGCCACAAAAAATCAGAACCCTGCAATTCTGCACATTTTTGCCACAGGATGTAGAGAATATGTTGCCGTTTTAAAGCAAGTTCGCTGGAATTCTACACATTTTTTCTCCATGGGGCGTAGAGAAGATTTAGCAATTTTATAACTCCTTTCATGTAATTGTACTGAGTAGAGAAGAATGTGCAGTTTTAATTAATTTCTAATTTGCTAATGTCCTGCAGTTCTACACATTTGCATTAGGATGGAGGCAAATGTTTGCAGTTTTTAGTATGATAACTGATTATCAATGGGCCCCACCGGTTGCTAATCCAATGATGCTTACTATAAGTTTATATTGACTATCTTACCTATCTAAAAACATTCACCTGACATGGGCTAATTGAGTGACTGCTGATGCACAACCACATTTCGAAATTGCACCTCGTGTATTCTATTATTCTAACTCTTAACAGCAAGTTGAGACCCCGACTGAGTTCCTAAAAAAAAAAATATACACTACCAGTCAAAGATTTGGACACACCTACTATTTTTTTACATTGTAGAATATTAGTGAAGACATCAAAACTGTAGTAAACAAAAAAGTGTTAAACAAAATATATTTTATATTTGAGATTCTTCAAATAGCCACCCTTTGCCTTGATGACAGCTTTGCACACTCTTGGCATTCTCTCAACCAGCTTCACCTGGAATGCTTTTCCAACAGTCTTGAAGGAGTTCCCACATATGCTGAGCACTTGTTGGCTGCTTTTCCTTCACTCTGCGGTCCGACTCATCCCAAACCATCTCAATTTGGTTGGGGGATTGTGGAGGCCAGGTCATCTGATGCAGCACTCCATCACTCTCCTTCTTGGTAAAATAGCCCTTACACAGCCTGGAGGTGTGTTGGTCCTGTTGAAAAACAAATGATAGTCCCACTAAGCCCAAACCAGATGGGATGGCGTATCGCTGTAGAATGCTGTGGTAACCATGCTGGTTAAGTGTGAATTCTAAATAAATTACAGACAGTGTCACCAGCAAATCACCCCCACACCATAACACCTCCTCCTCCATGCTTTACGGTGGGAAATACACATGCGGAGATCATCCGTTCACCCACAACGCGTCTCACAAAGGCACGGCAGTTGGAACCAAAAATCTCCAATTTGGACTTCAGACCAACTTTCCACCGGTCTAATGTCCATTGCTTGTGTTTTTTGGCCCAAGCAAGTCTCTTCTTATTATTGGTGTCCTTTAGTAGGGTTTCTTTGCAGCAATTCGACCATGAAGGCCTGATTCACACAGTCCCCTCTGAACAGTTGCTGTTGAGATGTGTCTGTTACTTGAACTCTGTGAAGCATTTATTTGGGCTGCAATTTCTGAATCTGGTAACTAATGAACTTATCCTCTGCAGCAGAGGTGAGACTCTGGGTCTTCCGTTCCTTTGGCGGTCCTCATGAGAGCCGGTTTCATCATAGCGCTTGATGGTTTTTGCGACTGCACTTGAAGAAACGTTCAAAGTTCTTGAAATGTTCCGTATTGACTGACCTTCATGTGTTAAAGTAATGATGGACTGTCATTTCTCTTTGCTTATTTGAGCTGTTCTTGCCATAATATGGACTTGGTCTTTTACCAAATAGGGCTATCTTCTGTATCCCCCCTACCTTGTCACAACACAACTGATTGGCTCAAATGCATTAAGAAGGAAAGAAATTCCACAAATTAACTTTTAAGAAGGCACACCTGTTAAATGAAATGCATTCCAGTTGACTACCTCATGAAGCTGGTTGAGAGAATTCCAAGAGTGTGCAAAGCTGTCATCAAGGCAAAGGGTGGCTATTTGAAGAATCTCAAATATAAAATATATTTAGATTTGTTTAACACTTATTTGTTGTAATGATGTGGTACTGCCTGAACTTAGGGTTAGGGTTACTACAGTGTGCCCTAATGAATGCACCCCAACGTGGTGCTGCAGATTTCCTCACTGACAAGGACCAAGGTCTTCCAGCAGGTGGCCAGAGACTGTGTTCATTAGTATTCATGATGCGGAGGAGGATGCAACATAACCTGTCAGTGCGTCCCAGCTGTATTATATTTGGTATCCCCACCCTGTGACCCACATGGGCTGAGAATGTCCTGGTACAGCTGGGAACAACCCTCCGAGCATACGACCCTCCAGCTGGACAAACCCCTCCCAGATGCAACTTAATCCCACACAGTGCACAATTCTTAAACAGAGTTCAGGGACACCACAGTCCCCACCCAGAGAAGGCACTATAGCCGAGACCATGGAACGAACACACACACACACACACACACAGGAATGCACACACACACAACACACCACACACACAGGAATGCACACACACACACACACCACACACCACAATGCACACCACACACAACACACACAGGAATGCACACACACACACACACACACACACACAGGAATGCACACACACACACACAACACACACACAAAATCACACACACACACAGGAATGCAACCACCCACACACACAAAAACTCACACAACCATGCACACACACACACACACACACACAGGAATGCACACACACACACACACACACACACAGGAATGCACACACACACACACACACACACAGGAATGCACACAGACACTCAAGCACACAGACACACACGTTGGAGGCCAATCAAGTCTCTCATTAAGACTGTTTGCATCTATTAGCGTTCACATCCTGGCGTGTGAAAGACATGTAAAAGCCTTCATTATCACTGGGTGAAATCACAAAGGTTTAGTCATCACCATCACCATCAACAAAAACAGATCACTTATTTTAGGGAGCTTGTTTCTCAGTGTGAAATAGGAACATTTGCAGCGTCACAAAATAATGCACATGCTCTGATTTCAAACACTGAGAAACAAATGTCTGGGTAAAACCACAGAGGCTCACTGTACCATCATTATCACCATCATCACACACCAAAAAGTGCTATTTTTTTTTTTTTTTGCCTTAACAATTAATAATAATAATATAATGGACTTGGCCTCCTTCTCCATCTCTTAACAAGAGAAGGAGCCCAAATGCTCTTATTTCATACACTGAGAAACACATTTCTGTCAAAGCCTTCATGTTTCACTGGCTTCAGGCCCTGGGGTGGTTTTCAGTGTCAGCTGTAATGTCATTCCAGTGAGTCCCACTGTAGTATACTGCTACTGCAGGGCCATCCAAGGGACCGGGTGGTCTGGGAGAGGGGGAAGGCAGGGAGTTGTTACGCACTCACTTGAACAAGGGCAGAGGAGCCAGAGCCATGACGACGTCCCAAAATAAACCTTATTCCCTAAATAGCACACTACTTTTGGCCATAGCCCTATGGTGTCAGTAGTGCACTTTAAAGGAAATCGGGTGCCATTCAGGGCGCACTGTTATGATTGAGCCCAGTCCTTTATTGGGTCATCGTCATCCAACAGCTAAAAATATCACATGACAGAGGAGGAAGTTCAGGGCATTTAGAATTAAATGTGAAGTGGCGCTTTATAGTTACGTGATGAAATTTAGCAATCATAGATTAAATCATGTGTCGCAATAAAGAAAGTTCGACAAAAGCTAAATCCAGACCCCCCCCCCCCCCCCCCCACTGTCGAACAGATACAAATATTGTATCTCTTTAGAAAATGTATCCTATATCTGCCGTTTCCATTACACATGTCCCAATGATTATTTTTTGCGACATTGCTTTTGTCGATGAAACCTGGGTCAATGGAAACCTGCCTACTTTCTGTTTAGGAGGAGGAAGCTCAGTCAGTCACGGTGTGCCGGGAGATTTTTACATCATAACTCAAGAGATGAGGGAGACCTGGGGTCCCAAATGGAATCCTATTCCCTACATAGTGCACTACTTTCGAACAGAGCTGGTAAAAAAAATAATCCTGCACTATGTAGGGCATAGGGTGCCATTTGGGACCTATTCTTCAGTTGGTTTAATGAAGTGTCATAAACTAGGTTTCCATCAAATTTGCGACTGATTTTTCATGCAAATATTTAAAAATCTGCATAAAACAATATGCGCATTTTCCCACCAGAGATGAGTTTCCATCAAACTGACTCATTGCGGATAGAAATGCTGTGCGTGATGACGTAGTGCACATAAAAATAACTTTAGTGTTTAAATTACATTGTACTGAATGAATAATAAAAGTTCCATGGGTTTCCATCGCATTTTCAACTCACAGAAAAAAATGGTGGTGTTACATAGCAAACGTGCGCTCTAGCCAATAGCTGGAAGATACAGTGCGGGTAGGCTACCTGCATTTTTGAGATGATTATGGATAAGAGCGATATTTGTTTATTTGTCAAACTGCAGCCAAGCATCGATCACATCGATCATCATGTCACCAGAACAAGATATTTATTGGAAAGGAGCATCAAACTCTTAATGTGCTCTTTCACCACCCTGTGAAGTTCATCATAACTTATTTCATCTGTAGCCTAATAAACTGCACGGACCACACACATACCGTCACGTGACTCCAAGTTTACTTCAATATGATGGTTATTATATCAACATTTGCGCATAAAGGCGTTTCCACCGCTATTTCTCGCATAATTAATTTTACCGACACAAAAAGATCCCACCATGTCCAACGAAGAAATTGTCAACATTTATAAAATTGTACTGGCATATCCTGTTTCCATCAGCCCGGTCGTGACTTTTTTCATGCATCAGGTAATTCATCCGCATGAAATGGTTTGATGGAAACCTGTTTATAGGCTGCTTTAAGACGGGCAGCCAAATTCTGATATTTTTTCCACTGATTGGTCTTTTGACCAATCAAATCAGATCTTTTCACACCAGCTCTTTTTCAAAACGGATCTGATTGGTCAAAATACCAATTAGTGAAAACATATAAGAATTGGGCTGCCTGTGCAAACACAGCCATAGTGCTTTTGATTGGATTGCTAGACAAATCACCATCAGACCCTTTGCATTTATTGGACTATCAAAGGGAAACTGAGATCAATTCATGCAGCATGCACACTGTATAATATAGATAGATGCTGTTTACTTTAAACCTATGGAGAGGCTTTGCACTAATGAGCTTTCTGTCTACATTATTTTCAATTACGATGTATAATATTTAATTTCTCAGAAATATCTACTCTCTAAACCTGAAAAAAATAATAAAACAGATCAGTGTGTGATCAATGCATATAGCATACTGTCTGTGTTCACATAGCATACTGTCTGTGTTCACATAGCATACTGTCTGTGTTCACAAAGCATACTGTCTGTGTTCACATAGCATACTGTCTGTGTTCACATAACATACTGTCTGTGTTCATATAGCATACTGTCTGTGTTCACATAGCATACTGTCTGTGTTCATATAGCATACTGTCTGTGTTCACATAGCATACTGTCTGTGTTCACAAAGCATACTGTCTGTGTTCACATAGCATACTGTCTGTGTTCACATAACATACTGTCTGTGTTCATATAGCATACTGTCTGTGTTCACATAGCATACTGTCTGTGTTCACATAGCATACTGTCTGTGTTCATATAGCATACTGTCTGTGTTCACATAGCATACTGTCTGTGTTCACATAGCATACTGTCTGTGTTCACATAGCATACTGTCTGTGTTCACATAGCATACTGTCTGTGTTCATATAGCATACTGTCTGTGTTCATATACCTTTCTATGGTCTCCCTCTCTATGGTCTCCCTCTCTATGGTCTCCCTCTCTATGGTCTCCCTTTCTATGGTCTCCCTCTCTATGGTCTCCCTTTCTATGGTCTCCCTCTCTATGGTCTCCCTCTCTATGGTCTCCCTTTCTATGGTCTCCCGCTCTATGGTCTCCCTCTCTATGGTCTCCCTCTCTATGGTCTCCCTCTCTATGGTCTCCCTCTCTATGGTCTCCCTCTCTATGGTCTCCCTCTCTATGGTCTCCCTCTCTATGGTCTCCCTCTCTATGGTCTCCCTTTCTATGGTCTCCCTTTCTATGGTCTCCCTCTCTATGGTCTCCCTCTCTATGGTCTCACTTTCTATGGTCTCCCTCTCTATGGTCTCCCTCTCTATGGTCTCCCTCTCTATGGTCTCCCTCTCTATGGTCTCCCTCTCTATGGTCTCCCTCTATAAGTCAGAAAATGCAATATGTCATTGTTACGTTCCCACAAGACAAACTCAAAATGTCTCACAACAAAGGAAACTAACTAAGAAAATCACTTTGACAACCAAAACGAATCAGAAAAGTGGTTCTGAAAGGCCTCATGTGGGTCTCCACTGAAAGTTGACAAAAAACTAGGAAATGTGCCCTAAAATAATCCCACCATGGAATCCCACCATGGAATCCCACCATGGAATCCCACCATGGATTCCATTTAAATCAAATCAAATCACATTTTTATTTGTCACATACACGTGTTTAGCCGTTGTTATTGCGGGTGTAGCGAAACGCTTGTGCTTCTAGCTCCGGCAATGCAGTAATATCTAACAAGTAATATATGGTATATATATTCTATATTCATAGAATATAGCAGAAAAATGTGTGCATATTGTAGAGTAATCCACTTTTAACCAATTGTGTATGTGTTATGTTTCAGGGCGCCTTAAGGTCACTACAAGCGTCACTCTGTCGTTGATGTGCGTGCGCTTGGGGTGGAGCGGGATTTTTGGAGCAGCGGACACATTGTGGTTACGTGATATCCTCACTGGTCCCATTCACAAGGAGGCTACAGCAAAGTTGTTTTAATTTTTTGTCATTTCATTTTTGTGGAAGCAGGGAAGAGTCACCTTCCCTCGCTAGTCATCATGTTTTGGTCACAGAGAAAAAAGCCCATGGCTAGCTAGTTGGCTACAGCAGGTTCTACCACTATAGACAGCGTAGCCGCAGGAAGTAGGGGTGCTGAGAGTGCGGCAGCACCTCCTGATAAATCATAATATTTCATATATATATATATATATATATATATATATATATATACACTACCGTTCAAAAGTTTGGGGTCACTTAGAAATGTCCTTGTTTTCGAAAGAAAAGCATTTTTTTTTGTCCATTAAAATAACATAAAATTGATCAGAAATACAGAGTAGACATTGCTAATGTTGTAAATGGCTATTGTAGCTGGAAACGGCTGATTTTTAATGGAATATCTACATAGGCGTACAGAGGCCCATTATCAGCAACCATCAGTCCTGTGTTCCAATGGCACGTTGTGTTTGCTAATCCAAGTTTATCATTTTAAAAGACTAATTGATCATTAGGAAACCCTTTTGCAATTCTGTTAGCACAGCTGAAAACGGTTGTGCTGATTAAAGAAGCAATAAAACTGGCCTTCTTGAGACTAGTTGAGTATCTGGAGCATCAGCGATTGTGGGTTCGACTACAGGCTCAAAATGGCCAGAAACAAATAACTTTCTTCTGAAATTAAGGCTATTCCATGCAACAATTATAGACTGACAAGTTTCAGAAGAAAGTTATTTGTTTCTGGCCATTTTGAGCCTGTAATCAAACCCACAATCGCTGATGATGACATTTCTAAGTGACCCCAAACTTTTGAACGGTAGTGTATATATATTGTTTTTTTCTACAAAATTAGTACACTGGGCCTTTATTACTCCTGTTTGAGCAGACCAAAACAGTCGTCAGCAGCACAGGGAGAAAATATTCTCTCAACTTCCTGTCATTGTTGCTAGCTATCTGGCCATCCAGAATCACAACAACAGATGGACTTCTTCCCCATTGAATCGTGTGCATCATTTTCATGACGTTGTCAGCTAACCCTAAACAAAATACATTTTTTTGGGTGGATTCTTGTTATTTGGTTTACTGTTTGAACAGTCGCTGAGATTATAGTTGGTTATCAATGAAAAATAGGCTGCTTTGATGAATAGCCCATATAGCCTATAGATCAGATCAAGGAACCAACCAACAACTATGCCCCCACGGCTGCGGGAAGGAAATGATATGGCGAGTCTCCAATTTTCAGGTGGTACAGAAGTACATCCAATGCTGGAGCCGTATCATTTGTGGTGAAAAATGACATTGGAACACCGCGCTACACTCCGTACCTTCCGTCTCCGTAGTGTGTGAACGTACCTTTAGGCCACTGAATCTTAGGAATATGACCTTACAAAAGGGTAACAATTACAATTTCAATTTGTATTTAATTTTCAAAATGTGGAACGTTTTTTGTAACATGTTTTTGAAAGTCAATTATAGTAAGCCCAATTCATTCATACAGTGGAGAGAGAAATGTTTGTGTCCTCAAGGGCTTTTTGCTAGGTAGCAATAGAATGAATACAACAACCTACGGACGTGATTTATTGTTTGCAATTATTCATTATTTTTATGATCATACACAGATCCTTGAGCTGGGTAACAGATACTTGATCTGGGAAACAGATCCTTGAGCTGGGTAACAGATTCTTGATCTGGGTAACAGATCCTTGAGCTGGGTAACAGATATTTGAGCTGGGTAACAGAAAGCAATAGTCCAACTCCAACCGTCCAGCTCTTGACAATAAAATAAAAAAGTAAAGAGATTTTTGTTCAGAAAACCTTTAATTGTAATTGGAATTACTTATAATGACATATTTCAATAAATATTTAGTTATATACATTTACAGCAGAAATTGTACATTCCTTTTTTCTTCAAATTGCTCACATTTTTGTACAAGCCCAAAATATCTGCCATTGTATTTATATTCATGCAAAATATTCAGTGTTTTCATATTTGAATGAAAAATAAAAAGGATTTGCTGAACTTTTTTCCTTCTTCTGAAGTGCACTCTTGGATTATTATGATAACTGTAACTAGCAAATTAAGATGTGCACTTTGTGCCAATACACAATATTTAAGCAAGTAAACCAAAATTAAGGCCATTCCAACTTGTGCTACTAATTAATTAAATAAAATTAATAAAAACATTTAAATGTTTGTGTACAGTTCAGTTCATGACTGGTTATTTCTGTCCATTTCTATCACTGGATGGTGAGTGCATCACCATAACCAGGGCATCTGATATATTACAAATACAATAAACAGAACCAAACAGCTGTTGTTATCAGCAATTACTAATAAATCATAACATGCTAGTTGAATTTCATACTTTTAAAATGTTCATATTACACTGTCCTATATGCCAAATATTATATGAACTTCCTTCATTGTCAATAATATTTGACATTATGATAGGTCAGCTTGATATGAAGGGTAGGAAGTCCTATCTGTCCAATGGAGATTTCCCCCATCAGTGAACATCCCAACCACTTCCACACTTTGAACATTGATCTGCTGAGCAATTAAAGTTAAACATACAATTCTTGTTCTAGAATGTGTCAGTGTTCTAGAATACGTTAGACCTTCTTGAAGTTCTCTATTCAGAGCAGTAAGTGTAATTTCCATCTCAATATCATAATAAACAAAGTAAGCCTTGTCCGAGCCCCTGCCCCTTGTCCCGTAGGGCAGGAGCCTATCAGGGTCAGGGTAAATTCCATCAATTCAATTCCAATTCAATTCCTTCTGCTTATTCATTTCCATGTATTCAATTCAAATTCCAGGACAAATCCTGAATTGAATTAAAATTCAATTAAAATTGGAATTGACCCCAACCCTGGAGCCTATCTCCTGTTTCTGTAGCGTGAGGCAGCTTGATGTACAAGTATACCCCCTGGACAGGACACTAGTAATAATGCACCTTAGTAATCAATTGGTTACAACAAATCCATATAGCATGTTCCCAAGTGCAGTGATCCTTCACATGGTCAGGGCATAAGAGTTCAATCCATGACTATTGAATGGATGAGTGAATATCATGGTGGTTGAGTGGAGGTACATGATATGATTAATTCTTAGTTTGTTGTTGCATATTCAACACTGGATAGCATTTTACTGAATGTATATTTTTGGCTGAGGAAGTCAAAACAGAGGAAAGATTCATGGTAAAAATCTGTGCTGAAAAATTGTGGCCTACAAATAAATATGTATCAACAAATGTTTTAACACTTTCAAAACATATTGATTACCATGCTGATATTTTAAATGGCCAATACGTTTTAACCCCCTTTTAGCAATTAACTTTTATAAATGCATAGTTTTGGGAAAAGCATAACATTATACATTATGTAAGTATGCTCCATGTTGAAAAGTTAATTTGTTGGGATAAAATAACACTAATACAAAAACATAGCCCTTCGAATCAGATTAACCATCTGTTGAAAAAACACATAAATATGTTTTGACAAATACTGCCTCAACTGGAAGGTAATATGAATTACCAGAAGATAATATGAATTTAAGAAATAGTTGACCGAAATTTAAAATAGTGTTGTACTCTCTTGTGCAAGTCCATCAAGCCTCAAACATCAAACTACCTCAAACTATCATTAACACATTTGAAAATCTATGACCTGTTAAAAAAGTAATGGAGTACACTTTTCAAGAAGAAAAAAAAAACAGGGATGAAGAAGCAGAAAAGGTTTCATATCAAAATATATTATATTGTTAATTGAATAGCGTCATATCACCACAAAAAGAAATGGAAGCACTTTATCCACACACTGGAAAGTCAATGGATAGAACTGCATCGATTTAAGTTACGACAACAAAACCTAAACAATATCCTGAACCAGTGCATAATATCTGTTGCAAAAGTGTTCTGGCATCTTTCCCCTTATGTCATCATGTTCAACACCGAACCAGGAAGGCAATGATCATAGGTTAACAAAATACTTATTTGGTTTGGAATATAAACCAAGTAGAGGAAAATAACATTTGGCAATGAAGTTAAATGTAAAAACTCACTCGACAAGTGTTTATTTCCACTGTGTCCGAGTCGCCCATCCATGACAATGTGTCGCAGGCCATATTTCCTGTGGTAGCAGTAGTGTAGTCTTTATTTCTGGGGCTTGGTGACAGCACTTTAGGCTAGGTAAACAATGTGCCAGAGGTTGGGGCCACAGAGAGCAGAATGTCTTAAATATGCAATATGAAAAGCCACTGTAGCTTGGCCCACTTGTAGTTTAATGTAAATGTGTTTTGAATGATGGGGCTAGGAGGAGGGTGAATAGTTTATATTATGCTTGTGGATGTAGATATGAAGGTCTCCTGTATGTATGTATGTATGTATGTCTGTCTACCATTGGAAATATGAGCACTGTGATTTGTGATGTCTGAGATTAAACTTGATATCACACAAGTTCAAACCAATTCATGATAATGTATTGTAAATGGTAAAGCTAATAAAAAAAATAATTGCATATATTAATTATTGCATAGAAAAGCTTGGTGAGAAGTAATGGATTTCAGTATCTTAAATCAAGCCCCTGGCTAGTTCAATAAATTAATGAATGAATCAGTTGCACAGTCTACTGTGGTAGTGTGATCTATAAAATGTACTGTATGATACACCAATGAGAACATTGTGTTAATCATTGCTGTTAAAGTATCAAACTTTTTTCCCATGATTTTGAGTGAATATCTTTAGGCATATTTTGTAAACGATTATAATAATACATGTTTTTATAGCTACATTATTAATGTGTGTAAATGTATCCATGGTAATAATTGTTAAGGTACAGTAGGTGTTTCCTTGTTAAATCTTAACTCACTACATTTTTCTCCATCGCCTGCTGGGTATTTTACTGTAACTAGGCAACAAGCAATAAGCTATGAAAAGAACTAAACCAATGTTAACAGTACAGCTTCAATGAAATGACTAGGAAGAATCAGGATTTAAAAAAATGCTTTTTCCGGTGTAGATTCACTTTTAATTAATCATATTTTGATTTAAGTACCAAATCCTTAAAATAGCACATTAATAAATAAATAAATTAATGCAACAATGATGATATGTGAATGATGGCAAATGTCCCTTTAGAATTAGACTTTAGCGTTCCCAAGAAGAGCTTGAGCTGATTACAGCAACATGATGTACACTTGACACGTAAATTAAAAACGATATGCAATTGAGAAATAAAGTAGAGGACAGATAGAGGAACAGTTGACCATAGCGGTTACAAACAATATAATATTATTTTCACTCCCCCACTCATCAAGTTTCCTTCATAGAGTTGATAGCAGCATCAACCACATCTCAGTTTCTATTGAGGGCTCAGGGAGTGTTGACAAGTCCTTGCGACACACTTTGAATCAAATTGAGATATATAGGACACATGATCCTTGCATCACTGCATTAATGGAAGCACTAACTCATCTTAGAATCCTTTTAAAATCCATCCCTCGTGTTCCATCCAGACGGCTGCCTAACAGTTTTTAAATGTATGATAGATATATAATATATTACAGTGCTGTATGTTTCCCCAACTTCTTCTTCTTTATAATGCAGTATCTGTCTTCTTCGAGTTGCGAAAAAAACGAACTCTTTCTCTTTAAATTCTCAGTTATCATAAATTCCGAAGTTCTTGGATGTATCGGTAAAAGTCTTAATATTTACTTCTTCATCGTTTTGTAAATATATTGCCACATTCATATATCATGCATTTTACTGCATTTCTATTGCACTGGTCCGGATTATTCAGGAGAAAAGAGGGGGAAAGAAAATAAAATAAAATAACAAATATTGATAAATTACCTTTGATAAATTACCTTTGCCAAGGCGATAGCCACCAAAAGCAAGTGAGCAAGTGAAGAGCGAGGAGTATTGGGGTTGGGAGCAGGATGGTGTGGTATTGAACTCTCTCTCTTCCCTTGCTTACGTCATCTGGTGTACATCCGTGCTTCGGATGATCTTGTATACGAGCCAGTAGAAAATATTAAAAATGAGGAAGACCAGCGGGAAAGCCACGCGAGAGACCGTGTCGATCCTCTTCGCGCGGCCGATGAAGAGCTTGCGCATCTCTTCCACCGTTTTCTCCTGAGGGCCGGCAGTGGCGGTCGGGGCGTTGTTGTTGTTCCCTTTGATGGCCATTCCGTCTTTGGCCTGAAGGCAGGCTGGGCCCATGCCATAGGCGGTGAAGCTGAACCGGCCCTCACCGCCCTCATCCTCCTGTAACACAGCCGAATATTCATTCTGTTAGGAATCAAAAAACCCATTACACATTTGATATCCAGGCCTGCTCTCTCTCTCTGTAAACAGTATCTCTTAAAGGCCCACCCCTTAAGTTGTAAAAACATATGACTTTGAAAATCATAGTGGTCCTTCAAGGAAAAGGCTCTTAACAGACTTAAATCATAGTGGGCCTTCAATGAAAAGGCTCTTAACAGACTTCATAATTTGAAAACACATTTAATGGCTGTGAAAATCACAGTGGGACTTTAAGTAATGCAGACACATATT